TGGGAGAATAGTGAGTTCCAGGCCAATCTAGACTATAGAGAAATCATATCAAAAAGCAAACAACCAAACAAAACACCACTAAATATTCCTTCATAGATAGATGTCTGGATGGGAAGACTAGCGCCCTGGGTAAGAGATTGCTCATCAATGGGTAGGTACATTTGTGACTCCAGAGCATCTTTCCTTCTGCAGTCCAAATAACAATGTAACTGCTCTTACAGACCTCTGTTAAAATGTGTTACAGTGTCTGTATTAGCAATGATGGCCTCAAACTTTAGAATCTTTGCCAGTCCCGGAGGTGAAATTGAATCTCAGTGTAGACACAGGTTGCATTATTTCAATACAAAGAAAACCAAACATCTGATATTTTCTTACAAGCCTTTAAAAAAGTTTCTCTCTTTCATAAAAAGCTGGTGGCTTTTCTATTGTTTTATTTGTTAGTTTATGTGTATGGTTGTTTTTCCTGCATGTTATGACTATGTACCATGTTTATACCCAGGAAGGCTAGAAGAGGGCATTGAGTCCCCTAGAACTATAGTTACTGAAGGTTTTGAGCAGCTATGTGAATACTGGGGATTGAACCCAGGTCCTTTGGAAGAGCAGCCAGTGTTCTTAACCACTGAGCCATCTCTCCAGCCGCTCTTGTTTTCTTTATATCTAGGATTTTTTGTTTGCTTTTGCTATTGTTGTTTACATATAATCTTACTTTTCAATGATGTGTATTTGTATGTGCTTGTTTGTATGCCGTGTGAGTACAGAAGTCCTTGGAAGCCAGGATAGGCCTTCAGCTCCCCCAGAGCTGGAGCCTCAGGCAACTATGAGTCAGCTGAAGTGGGCCTCAGAGCCAAACCCAGGTCTTAGGGAAGAGCACTAGGCACTCACTCTAACCACCGAGCCATCTCTCTCTCTAGCCTGCTTGTTTTGTGAAACAGGGTCTCACAGTGAATCCCCAGTTAGCTTGGAACACGCCTCAAACTCACAGGAGTACTCGCGCCTCCCCCCCGTCCAGTCTGACATTACAGGCATGAGCTACCACACCCAGTTATGGGAATTCTGTTTTTGTTCTTAATGGTTTGGGGACAGAGTCTCAGTATGTTCAGACTGGCTCCGAATTCTCTATCCTCATGACTCGGTCTCCCAAGTATTGAGATTACAGGTGTGTGTCATCATGCCTAGCCTGGAAACTTTTGCTATGAACAGAGGCATCAGACAAACTACAGGCGAGACATTCAACACAATCAAGTTTACGTCATGCCATTAGGAAGCCCCACATTACCACCATCATTTCGATCACCCGAGGTAACTGACTAGTCAACAAAGACCTAACATGCACAGGTGTTCATAAGCCAAGGCACTAGAATGACGGTTCTCAACCTGTGGGTCTCGACCACCTTGTGGGCTGCATATCAGATAGTTATATTACGATTCATAACAGTAGCAAAATTATAGTTATGAAGTAGTGATAAAAATAATTTTACGCTGGGCGGTGGTGGCGCACGCCTTTAATCCCAGCACTCGGGAGGCAGAGCCAGGCGGATCTCTGTGAGTTCGAGGCCAGCCTGGGCTACCAAGTGAGTTCCAGGAAAGGCGCAAAGCTACACAGAGAAACCCTGTCTCGAAAAAACCAAAAAAAAAATTTTACAATTGGGAGTCACCACAACATGAGGAACTGTATTAAAGGGTCCCAGCATTAGGAAGTGTTTATCCTGAAATTCGCCAGAAAAGCCAATTCTATCATTTTGGCCAAAATTAAGCAAGCTTTTATTAAAATTTTAAATACTGACCAAGATGGAACTTGGTCAAGACTATCACATGGAAACTTTACAGGTAAGTGGCCCCAAGATGCATGTTGACAGAGCTTATACAGGTAAACCAATAGGCCACTGCACTTCTCATGAGGTTTTGTTGTTATTTTCCAAGAATTATAACTCTCAGAATCCCAGGAAGATGCCTGGTCCCTGGACAGGTGTTATCTTTCAAGAACTCCAACTCCCAGGATCCCAGGAAGTTACCTGGTCAGGTGGTGCTTACAGGTTAACTTCGGGTCTAACAGAAGATTGAGAACCACTGATCTAGAACCTGATACAAGGACCCCACATTGCCCAATACACAGAAACACGGTTAAGTCTCAACTAACCAGAAGTCAAACTTTAAACTCAAATTTCCATAATGCTCTTGCTTGAAAGTCCATGACAGCAGACTCAGGGCTATGCATGTAAAAAACCACAGGGCTTCACAGGTGTGAGAGCTCCTGCACCCTCACCCAGAGCTTAAGAATTATGTTGGCAAGCATTTATTCACCTGCCTGGCTGGCTGACTTCCCAACCAAAGCAGATTAGAACATAGGCAGTCCATGTGGATGTGGTTAAGGACAGAGAAGGACTCTTCAGAAAAGAAGAAAGCAAGACAGCATTCAGAGTTGGCCAAGAAAATGGCCACCTGGAGCCACTGGCTCCTGGGAACAAGGAATCTTGAAAGGAAGGGCTAAGGCATCGGTTGCATGAGGGACCGCCATCCCTACCACGCCAGTGGGTCTGATTCAGTCTCAGGAACACTTGACCTTGCATATCAAGGGACCGTGTTCTTTCTCACTTCCTACTTAAGCTTCTTTTTCCTCCTCCTCTTCTGTTTTTTGTTTTGTTTTGTTTGAGAGAGAGAGTTTGAGGCTGGCCTTGAACTCTGTAGCCTCCTGTCTCTGTTTCCCAGAGGTGGGAATAAGTTTTTTCTTCTGGCCTTGCCACAACAGGTCCAGGGTTCTTGGGGAGAGACCACAGCATTGGATACACCAAATAAAGAGCAGGGTCAACACGCTCTGGGCTCCTGCTCATTGCCAGGTGCCAAGCAGAATGCCTTTGTGTGTTTCCTCATTTACTCTCCAACTCTCTGAAGCAAACGTTTTGCACATATTGCAGATGTGGAAACTGAAGGTCAAAAATGTTAAGTAATTTTCCCAAGATCTTGACAAACAGATGCCTGTGAAGCCAGCCTGGTGCTGCTTAGGGGTGGACTTGTATTCCCCCACTGAACGTGAACAGGGCATCCACATGAGTGAGACCACTGTGATCACAAATCATGGCAAAAAAACATGACTACTCTGGCACCATGACCAACGACAGACCAAGCACAAATGCTCTCCAAACCACAAAATGACCAATACCACCTTCCTTCCGGTCCAGCCTGTAAACTGAGGCTGCTTCTTGACCAACCCCAGCTGCAGCCTAGCCCTGACAGGCTTTTCATCTAGCAACAGTTTGAGAAGAGATGCAATCAGAATTTTTCCCTGCTTACAGTCAGCCTCTAATCCGGAGCAAAGACTTCCCTCTGAAATCACTGGCAAGCCACATTCCCCCTTGCTACAAGGAGAAATAAAATCCAGCAGGTCCAAATCCCAGTAGCTTTGACTAGGGGACCTTGAATATCTACCAAGAGAATTAGTACTGAGCCAAGAAGATCCCCTTGAATCCAGAGCAGGTGCTTCTGACCACTCCATTCTGCCGACCCCGGTCAGCTTTTTCTTCTTTAATTTAGCTGCATGTGATCCATTTGGGAAAGACAGTGTATGTGGAAAGGCCAACTTCAGTTACGGTGGAGACAAAACCGTTGCCTTTAAAAATGTATCTTTTCACCAATAGTGTGTGAAATAAAGAAACAAATGATGGTCAGAGGACAGGCATGAGTCTGAACAGGCAGACTGAAGCAGGCCGCAAAGGATGCGGAGTGGAGGAAATGAAAGACTGTTAGGGACAGAGGGGGCCAGGGCTGTGGTGTACAGCCTGTAACCTGGGTACTTAGAACTAGAAAGGCTGAGACAGGAGAATTACAAATCCAAGTCCAGCCTGGTCTTCACAGGGATATGATAGCTTTAAAAATGTTTTAATGGATCTTCAAAGATAAAAGCAGCTGTGGTTGACCCCTACTACTGTTCGGGGAGAGGCAGCAAGACCAGAATGTTCAAGGGCAGACCAGGCTGCCAGGACACTTAGCTCAAAGATAAATGCGAAGATCCATACACATAAAGAGGGGACCTCTCTAGCAGGCGTCCACAGAGCTCAAGAACAAGAACACCCCAAGGACAACGTAGAGAGTCCTCTGAGCAAGCCAGTCTGGAGTCCAGGGACCTGGGCAGGCGGTCTGGGCAATTGTCTCTCTCAGATCTCATCAGGAGTCGGGGCCAGCTTCTCCCGAAGAATTTCTTTGTAAGAAGTGCTTGTGGGTGTTGGATGTTGAAGACGATTCATTTTATTGTACATCTAGATGCTGTTCCTCTAACCTTTCAGCTCTTTTCCTTCAACTCCCAGCTCTGCCTGGGGCGTGACAGCCCAGCCCAGCCGTCCCAACACATCCTTTCTCACTTCTCTCCAAGTCGCATTCAGACTCCCAGTAAGTGGGTGACTGGCTGGTTTTTTTTGTTCAGGCTCCAGCAAAGCCCTAGAGCTGCCCCAGGTCTTTCCCTGAGGGATGCAGAGGGGAAGAACCTCTCCCCAGTCCCCATTCCGGATTGAGGCAAAAGGGTCTCAGTGCCCAGGTTAGATTCAGTTACCCCAGGCCTGGCCGCTCCCAAGCCTGCCTCTGCCTGCCTCTGGCCTTTCCTCCCGTACATGCACATGCCTGGATCCTTCCAGACACCAGAGAGAGATCAGAAGACAAAGGATGGATATGGGGGTGGGGACATGATGAGGTGGGGGTGCCAGAGAGCACCAGCGGCACTTGTCACATTCCAGGACTACCGGGGTGGCCACGAGCATGCTGGGAGGAGGCAAGGATGGGATGGAGACCTGGGCGGAATCTGACTATGGGCAAGACCAAGCAGCTGTCCCTGCTGGAGGGTGGAGGAGAAAAGAGGGGCGACTGTCCCCCAATCACCGGCTTCGGGAGGGAGCAAGGGGGTCCCCAGGGAAAGGGGGCGCTGACAGTTTGCCCCAGGCCGGGATACCGCGGAGGGAGGAGGAGAGAGGAGCACAGGCGGAGCCCGCAGCACGCGCCCGCCCGCCGCCACTTACCCGCGCGCTGCAGCTCGGTCCTGCACGTGCTCGGTTCCTGCAGGCGCGTTCCCGGGATCTCAGGGAGAGGAGCAGGGCGGGCCCGGACCTTTGTTCAGTCCTGCCCCAGGGAGTCTCAGCGGGGCCACAAGCGGAGGCACCGCGCTGGAGGCGGGGCTGGACCCGGGACTCAGGGACCCTGGCGGCAGGGAGGCAGCTGCTGACAGACACTGCCTCTCTTCCTTCCGGGGATACCAGGGAGGTTGCCAACTGCCCAGGTCAGGCTTTGGCTGAAGCATCTGCTCCAGAGGAGGGAGGTGAGGATGAGCTGTGGCCTACTGGCCACAGATGCCTCACCCCCCTCCCCACCCCCCTCTTTACCTCCCCCACACACACACCATTTTCCCCACACCCTGTCATTGCCACCAGTAGGATGTGAATTGGCACAGTGGCCTTACAGTTCATCCAGGGAACTCAGTCCTTGGCCTTGGGAACCTTTGCACTTGCTTGGGGATTGGTGTTGTGAGGGTAAGCTCCCTGAAGGAGAACCAAGCCTGTCACCAGCGGTGACAAGGGAGGGGATTAGAGCAGAATGTTGAACCCTCTGAGTCAGTCTTTGTAGGATGTTCTTTCCTGTGCGATGAACAGCAGAAAAGAAAATCCTCCCCCCCCCCCCGACCCCCAGACCCCGGATTTACACTCAGAATACAGTGGCTGTCCCTGTAGGAGGTAGGAAGGAGCCCGGTAGGAGGTAGGAAGGAGCCCGGCAGGTGGCTACAGAGGTGGACTCTCCATTGGTCACCTCACCACAAAGCCTGTCCTAACCATTCATACTACTAGGGACCACAGGGACCCTCTGTAGCTCCTTACACACTTCACGATTCTCCTTTGCCCCAGCCACCATCACATCACTACACGTATAATAATACATAGTTCGTCCCTAAGTTTTCGTCTCACTGAGGACAGGTGTGGGAGCCCGTTCTCAGGTTCCTCGTGGCTTTACCCAGCAGGTCCGCATAGAGGATGATTGGACCACGGGCCTGAGTGCAGGTGTCTGAGATGGTCTGCACTTGGCTGTGCTGGGGGAGGAGGTCTTTTGCTCCACCCCTGGCGTCTCTATGAAAACCCTGGGGCAGAGACAGTCAGGGCCCGTTGGAATAGGTTCCAGGCCCTCTCGAGGCTATCCTTTATTTTCTATCTGTTTATCTCCGCAAGATTTTCCGCAATAAATCCTTCTATCTAATATTTCCTGCTGCTCGCACTCAAGAAAACTCTGGGGAACTGTGGGGGTGGTGGGTAAACGCCCCACAGACAGGGAGATATTTTGCTTTGTTCACTGTGTCCAGCTCCAAACTTGAAACTTACTGTGTAGTAGATACTCAGCAAATTATGCTTGGATTAGAAAATAACTGGTGAGATACCCAGTATGTAAAGGGGACAGCCTTCAAGTCTGACTTCCTGGGTTCAGTCCCCAGAACACACACAGTGGAAGAACTGACTCCTACAAGTTATTGTCTGACTGCCACAGGTGCACCGGTACCTACACATGTGCATATTATAGATAGAGGATAGATAGATAGATAGATAGATAGATAGATAGATAGATAGATAGATATAGATGATAGACAGATAGATAGATATAGATAGATAGATAGATGATAGATAGATAGATAGATAGATAGATAGATAGATAGATAGATAGATGATAAATTTTTTTTCTCAAATGGGGCATATGGGGATTATGGGGTTGTCTTCATAAGTTACTTAGTTTCAAGATTTTCTTTCTAGCAACTTAAGCCATGTAAGAGGATGAAGACTTATCAGTGTCCATTGCCTCCTGACCTGGGCAGTTAAGCTTCAGAGCATCCTCACCACTCAGTGCCCATCCTGAAGGCCCCAGCTCCCCACTTGATAAGCATGAGGAAGGTATAGACAGTGGGTATCGGATGAATGAGTAATAGAAATTGCCAGAGTTACCCCTCTGGTCCTATGCTTTGCCATTGTGACTAGATACTGAAAGGAAAGAAAAGTCACTATTCTAGTCTGGTCAAGAGAGTTTTAAAATCTGTCATTGGTCCTTTGGGTTCATAAAATCATACAGTGATGCTAGGGTTTGACTGTGTTCCCCAGAGTCTAAGTCCGTGCAGTGTTGAGAGGGGGCGTCCATAAGAGGTGGTTAAGACGTGAAGGCTCTGCCCTCAGATACTGTTGACAAGGGAGTGGGTTGGTTACCATGGGAACTGGTTCTGATCAAAGGAGCTTGCCACCCCTTCCCCACCCCACCTGCCCCCCTCTTCCCTTTCCTTCCACCTTCTGTCTTAGGATGACTGAGCAAGAGGGTTCTCTAGCACAACTTGACCAAGGACTTCTCAGTCTCCAGAGCTGGAAGAAATAAAATCTGGGTTCTGTATCATTTACCCAGTCTCAGGAATTCTGTTCTAGCCTCACAAAGTCAAGTAAGAGACTTGTTAACTTAATTGTTATCATAGCTTATTGCCCCATGGCCTGGGGCATCAACCTTTGAGCAGCCTCATAACACCATGTTCAAGCAGTCCCCACCCTGATGGCTCATCCTCTAACTAGGTCACTACTTGAAACTGAGACCACATGAGTTTCTGAAGCAATGGTTCCTCCGTGTCTTCACATTTTTTCACTCTTCCTATCCTGTGCAGCGGCTAGTCATTAAATGCCAGAGGGAGATATAAGCAGCTGAGACGGAGGTGACACTTTCTAGGTACTGTCTCTAGGACGTAAAGACAAACTTATCTAACCCTCATAACCAACTTTGGGTTCAAGTTAAACAAGGGGAGTGAGACTTCAGAAACTGGGAAGTAATGTCAGAGTTTAACTCAGGTACAGAGCATAGCATACAGAACATGGGTCTTGGGAACCGAACGCTGGTCCTCTGTAAGAACAGGATACACTCTTAACCACAGAGCCATCTCTCCAGCCCCATACTTTAATTTTTTTAATTACACTTGTGCTTTTTGCTATCACTTTATTTGAATATTTCAGAGGCCACAATCGAAACAAAATAAGATTCTAATTCAGACTCTCATCAGTAGGCTCTGTTAGGAAGAGGGGGTGTGGGAACTCTCACTGGAGAAAGACTGGGGTGCTTATTGTTGGCAAGTATTTGCTTCTCAGAAGATTCATCACATAACTGTTTCAAGTTGCAGCTCTTGCTAAATGCTCTACTATTCACTGGGTGTTCCTGGCTCTACCCCAGAGTAATCTGATGCCTCAATTATCAATAGCTTCATTTTGTAGCTTTAATCACTTCTTATACCTCCCAGCTTTACAGGCTGGGACCTGGGGCAGGGCAGCTACACAACCATTCAGTTCCATGTGGCATTAACTGAGGTCCCTCTAAGGACTTTAACTGCTGATGGGGTAATGGCTTGGTCTGAAAGGTATAGGATAGCTTCGCCAATATTTAATCCCTTCAGGATGCTGTAACAAAATAATATGGACTGTATGGATTATAAACAATAGAAATTTGTTTTTCACAGTTTGTCATAGTTCAAGGGCTTAGCAGATTCTGTGCCTGTTAAAAGCGCTTCATGGTTTTTAGATGATTTGTCACATGGTAGACAGTACCACTCTTGGATATAATCGCCTATCAACCCCCCACCTCCTCATGTTATCACATGGCTAATTACACTTAGGCATATGAATTTTGGAGGAATACTGTAACACGAATTGCTAAACAGTCTTATTAATAGAAACCCTGGAGCCAGACAGTGGAGTGGAAGCTGAAAGATCAGAGAAACAGAACAAGCCAGCCATGTTCTGTTTGTTTGTTTGTTTGTTTGTTTTTCGAGACAGGGTTTCTCTGTGTAGCTTTGCGCCTTTCCTGGAACTCACTCTGTAGCCCAGGTTGGCCTCTAACTCACAAAGATCCTCCTGGCTCTGCCTCCCCAGTGCTGGGATTAAAGATGTGTGCCACCACTGCCTGGCTGCCAGCCACATTTTTACTTCTATGAAATCATCAGCCTCAAGGGAGTGAGTTCCTGTTTCCTCATGCCTTATATACCTTTTTCTGCCCTGCCTCCCAAGCAAAGGCATGAGATATCAAGTGTTGGGATTAAAGGTGTGTGCCACCATGCCTAGCTCTGTTCCCAGTGTGGCCTTGAACTCACAGAGATCCGTCTCTCCCGAGTGATAGGATTAAGGGTGTGTCCTATCACTGTCTGACCTCAATGTCTAATCTAGCGGCTGGCTCTGTCCTCTGATCCCCAGATAAGTTTTATTGGGTTATCACCCACAGTATATCACCACAGAATACAAACACTCAGAAGAATGACATTCTACCTCTCCATTAGGGAAGTCACAATGACTTTCCATAATGTTTCAATCTAATTCTTGGTTTTATTAAGCACACAAGGAAAATTTCTGTTTTTATCTATTGTTCATGTACAAACAAATATCATCACTGAAGAAATTTGTAATGAAGACCAATAGTCATCCAGCAGATGTTGGATTTGCAGAAACATTCCAAGTGATACAACTCGGAGCTGTGCAAACTGCCCTCATTCCATCCTTGCCAGCAGCACTTATGTCTAGCACTCAAGCGCTCTAGATCCAGCACGTAGGATTTAGGCAGCATCTTGCTAATGAGTGTTTATTAAGGATATACCATGGGCACTAGGGAGACTAAAGATCCCCTCAGCCATCTTAGTTCCTACTTAGAATCCCTATAACAAAAGCAGATTAACAAGAGAGAAAAAACACACACAAATATATTAGTGTGTAGCACACTAAATATAAAATTTAATGTAAAAATGTGTGTGTGCCATATACATATATATCCATACATATAATGCATGTGCATGAATGTGAAAATGCATCCTCCATCGCTCTCTGCCTCATTAGTGTGAGGCAGAGTTTCTCATCGAGCCAGAGACTTGATGTTTTGACTGCCTGGCCAGCAAGCTCCTGGGATCTGTTCCTCTCTGTTCCATGATGCTAGGTTTATAGTCACACAAAGCCAGAGCTATCTTTTTTTTTGTGGGTGCCTGAGATTCAAACTCGGGTCCTCATGCTTGAACGGCAAGCCCTCTTACCTGCTAAGTCATTTCCTCGGCCCCTGGTATAGCATCTTCCACAGAGAACAGTAAATCTGTAGGGAGAGAAGAACCAAGGCAGGCCATGGTAGGTTTCCAAAGGTGGGAAACCAAGCACATGGAGGTTCACTTCCAGGCACCTCCTATGGCAGCTCTGGGCTCACGAGTCTCCAATAGTCACCACGAGAGGAGAGTTCATATCCTCCGCTAGTCAGAGAGGCAGAATAGGTGAGCTGTCTCCCTGGTGCTGTTTGATTGCCCTGAGCTCA